CGCGTCCGAGAAGGCGGTCGAGGGCGGCTTCGGGATTGATCCGAAGGTGTGGTTCTCGACGATCACGAACAAGATCAACGGCCTGAAGTCGTTCGAGGACGAGCTGGCGCAGGGGGTTCAGGACGAGGCGTCCGCCGCGCTGGCGTCGTCGCGCGCGGCGATGATGACCGAGGCGGGGGTCATGGCGTTCGTGGTGTTCGGCGTGCTGCTGTTCGGCGCGAGGGTCTCGCGTTCGATCACCCGCCCGCTCGCGTCATTCGAAGGGACCGTCCGCGAGATGGCGGAGGGCGACCTGAGCGGGACGATCGATATCGCGTCCAAGGACGAGATCGGCGAGCTCGCCAGCACGTTCAACGACCTCGTCGCGGCGGTCCGCGCCGACGCCGAGGAGAAGCAGAACGCGCTGGAGTCCAAGGTCCGCCTGCTGCTGAGCGTCGCGCAGGCGGCGTCCGGCGGCGACCTGACGTCGGAGAAGCCGTACGAGAGCGACGACGAGATGGGCGAGCTGGCGACGGGCTTCGACTCGATGTTCGACAACATCTCTGGCGTTCTGAACGAGGTGATCGCGGGCTCTGCGCAGATCGACGCCGGGGCGCAGCAGTTCGCGAGCGCGAGCCAGCAGCTCTCCGAGGGCGCGACGCAGCAGGCGGCGAGCCTGCAGCAGATCGCGGCGTCGCTGGAGGAGGTGTCCTCGATGATCGCGCAGAACGCCGAGAACGCCAAGCAGGCGACGGCGTTGAGCGAGGAGTCGCAGAAGAACGCCGACAAGGGCGCCGAGGAGATGCACGCGATGAACGAGGCGATGGACTCCATCAAGGCCTCGAGCGAGGAGATCTCCAAGATCATCAAGGTGATCGACGACATCGCGTTCCAGACGAACCTGCTCGCGCTCAACGCGGCCGTCGAGGCGGCGCGGGCGGGCGAGCACGGCAAGGGCTTCGCGGTGGTGGCCGAGGAGGTGCGTTCCCTCGCGATGCGTTCCGCCGAGGCGGCGAAGAACACGGCGGAGATGATCGAGGCGTCGGTGGAGCGTGCGAACAACGGCGTGGACATCGCGGGGCGCGTTGGCGAGGCGCTGAGCGGGATCGTCGACAGCTCGCGGAAGGTGAACACGCTGCTGCAGGAGATCGCGAGCGCGTCTGTGGAGCAGGCGAGCGGGATCGACCAGGTGAACAAGGGCGTGGGCGAGCTGGACAAGGTGACGCAGCAGACGGCCGGGAACTCGGAAGAGCTCGCGGCGGGCGCTCAGGAGACGGCGTCGCAGGTCTCGACGCTGCGTGACCTGGTGAGCTCGTTCAAGACGCGGGGCGCGTCGCACGCGTCGGATCCCGCGCCGGCGGCCAAGCCGTCGAAGGCTCAGCCGCCGAAGCCCGCGGCCAAGGCCCCGGCTCCGAAGCCCGCGTCGGTCGCCGCGTCCGCGAAGGACGAGTTCCCGATGGACGAGGGCGACGAGGGGTTCGAGAGCTTCTGAATAGTCATGGTTGAAAAGGACTGAGTCTTCGAAGGCCGCCGGATCACGCCCGGCGGCCTTTTTCGTTCGCGGGTCGCTCGGGTCGGTGTTCTTGGATGCCCTGTTTGAGCGGTTCAGGCTCGGAAATTGGGCAGGTCTCAGTGAATATCAGTGTAGATCGATCCGCGGGCTCGACCTGGATCACGTATTTGCCGACTGGTACCGCAACGCGTCATCCGGCGGGCGACGCCGCGGGGCGCGGGGTTCGATACGGATATGCACAAAGGAGATGCCGACCCATGCCTTCGAAAATGTTGTCGTCCGCGGTGTGCCTGTTCGCGGTTGCGGGCTCGGTCTCGGCCGGGACGCTGCGCGCTCGCGGCTCGGACTCCACGCTCTCTGCGCTCGAGGCGCTCGCATCGGCGTTCGGGGAGGCGACGGGTCACACGGTGCACGTCGAAGGCGGCGGTTCTTCGAACGGCGCGAAGGCGGCGCTGGCTGGTGAGGTGGACCTCGGGTTCATGTCCAGGGCGCCGAAGTCGCAGGAACTCGCGGACGGCCTGGTCGGTGTGCAGTACGCGATCGACGGCGTCGCGATCATCGTGAACGCCCAGAACCCGCAGACGGACTTCACGGTTGCGGACCTCAACGCGATCTACACCGGCGAGAACCGGGCGTGGGCCAACGGGAAGAAGATCCTGGCGCTGAACCATCCGAAGAGTTCCGGAACGCGTGAATGTTTCGAGGGCATCGTCATGGGGGATGACGAGTACCTTCCGATCATCAAGAACAAGCACGAGTCTTCTGCGCGGACGCTCGTGACGAAGCTGGACGTCGCGATCTACTACACCTCGGCGGGCGCGATCGAAGCCGATGCGCCGTTCAACGTGTGCACGATGAGCGGTATTGCTCCGAGCACGGAAAACATTCAATCGGGGACGTACCCGCTCACACGCCCGCTCTTCCTCGCGACGAAGGGCGAGGCATCGGGGGTCGCTTCCGAATTCATTGACTTTGCGCTCAGCCCCCGTGGTCAGTCGATTGTTGCCGGGGTCGGCTTCGTGCCGGTGAACCCGGTCGAGGAGGCCGCGGCCCCCGAGCCGGAGCCCGTGAGCGTGACCGAGCCCGCGGCGGTCGCCGCCGACGAGGCCGAGGGGGTCGAGGTCGAAGAGGACGCGGCGGCCGTCGAGACGGCGTCCGCGGAAGAGGGCGGGGGCGCGTAAGCGGCCCGGGGAACCGAGAACACACACACCGTCGGGGCCACGATACGCCCGCGGCACGTCAGAAAGGCATGATTTCCATGAAGCTTGGAATTCGCGGAACGCTGATCAGTTGTTTCTCCGTCGTCGCGGGCATCGCGGTCGTCGGATTGTTCGCCTGCGTCGTGCTCATGATGGACGCGTCGGGGCGCACGGGCGAGATCGCGGACGTGTACACGCCGCTGTCTCACGACGCGCACGAATCGCTCACGGCGTACTACCAGGTGCGGAGCGCGCACAACGGGTACGTCTCGACGGGCGATCCGACGTTCGTCTCCGGCTTTGATCGGGCGTTCAGCGAGACGGTCGCGTCGCTCGAGACGCTGCAGCGTGACGACACGGGTGGGTATGTGAGCGAGCTGATCGGCCCGGCGCGGGCGTCGCTGGATGCCTACAACGCGTCGTTCAGCGGGCTCTCCGGTCTGCTGTCCAAGCTGGACGCGAGCGACGAGCATGGTCCCGCGGCCCGACTCGAAGCGGAGATGGATAGCGTCGGACGTGCGATCGAGGAGTTCGGCCTGACGGAACTGGCGCTGCTCTCGAACACGCTGCGGAGCGATTTCGTGGAGTGCGCGCTCGTCCCCGACGACGAGACGGAGGCGACGATCGCCGAGAACATGGAAGAATTCGACCTCTACGCGTACGCGTTCGAGGCTCCGAAGGACGTCCGGGCGTCGATGTCCGCGTCCTGGGCCGCGGCGTTTTCGGCGCTGCAGGAGATCAAGTCGATCCGGGAGTCGCTGGCGGCGCAGGTCGCGCGGGCGGCCGGCGCGTCCGGGGAGGCGGAGTCGGCGCTGCTCGCGTTGGTCGACGAGACCTCGGACTTGCAGCGGGGCGCCATCACTTCCACGCGTTCGCAGGTGAAGAGCGCGAGCGGGATCGCGGTGGTCATCAGCGTCTTCACGGCTGTGGTCAGTTTCGTGCTCGTGGCGGTGTCGGTGAAGCTGATCACGCGCCCGATCTCGAAGGTCAAGGACTCGATGGACGGCATGATCGCGGGCGAGAGCGACATCGAATCGCTCTCCGAGAACGCGAGCCGGACGGACGTGATCGGCGACCTGAGCAAGAGCTTCATCAAGCTGGTCGAGACGATTCAGTCTTCCGAAAAAGCGAAACGCGAGGCCCTGCAGGGCAAGGTCGCCCGGCTCCTGGACGTCGCGACCGCGGCGTCCTCGGGCGACATGACCCGGCCCAAGCCCTTCGATGGCGAGGACGACATGGGACGCCTCGCGAGCGGGTTCGACGAGATGTTCGAGAACATTTCCGGCGTGCTGAACGAAGTGATCTCGGGGGCGGTTCAGATCGACGCTGGCGCCAGGCAGACGGCGTCGGCCTCCCAGCAGCTCTCCGAGGGCGCGACGCAGCAGGCGGCGAGCCTGCAGCAGATCGCGGCGTCGCTCGAGGAGGTGTCCTCGATGATCGCGCAGAACGCCGAGAACGCCAAGCAGGCGACGGCGCTGTCCGACGAGGCGGAGCAGAACGCCGAGCGCGGCGCCGAGGAGGTCGCCTCCATGAACAAGGCGATGGACTCGATCAAATCGAGCTCGGAGGAGATCTCCAAGATCATCAAGGTCATTGATGAGATCGCGTTCCAGACGAATCTGCTCGCGCTCAACGCGGCCGTGGAAGCGGCGAGGGCGGGCGAGCACGGCAAGGGCTTCGCGGTCGTGGCCGAAGAGGTGCGTTCGCTGGCGATGCGGAGCGCGGAGGCGGCGAAGGACACGGCGGAGATGATCGAGGAATCGGTCGAGCGCGCGAACAACGGCGTGGAGATCGCCTCGCGTGTGGGCTCGGTCCTGAGCGATATCGTGGCTTCGTCGTCCAAGGTCAACGCCCTGCTCAGCGAAATCGCCAGCGCCTCGGCCGAGCAGGCCAGCGGGATCGAGCAGGTGAACAAGGGCGTCGGTGAGCTGGACAAGGTGACGCAGCAGACGGCCGGGAACTCGGAAGAGCTCGCGTCCGGCGCGGAAGAGACGGCTTCGCAGATCTCGTCTCTCCGCGAGACCGTGGGGAGCTTCAAGACGCGCGGGGCGTCGGTGTCGACGTCGGCCCCGGCGCCGAACCCGCCCAAGACGTCGCCGTCGCCGGCCCCGGAGGCCCGGGTCGCGGTGACGCCGGACGGCGCCGAAGATTTCCCGATGGACGAGGACGAGGGCTTCGAGAGCTTCTGAGGCCCGAGATGTGAGACGGATCGATCAGGGCCCGCCGGCGGTTGTCGGCGGGCTTTTTCGTGCGCTGCGGGCCCGCGGGCGGAGCGGACGCCGGGGCGCACGGATGGGTAAGATGCCCCCATGGACGGCACACACAACGGAACGGACTCCGGCGGCCCCCGGCTCGGGGGGCTCGATCTGGCGGAGGCGGGCGTCCTCGCCTCGTGCGTGGAGGCGATCCTGCTCACCACGGACAAGCCGATCGGGGCTGGCAAAATCGCCCAGGCCCTGACGCTCGAGGGCGAGGGGACCAAGGCTCGGGTCGAGGGGGCGATCGAGTCGCTTAACAATCAATATGAAGAGACCGGGCGGTGCTTCCGGATCCGGATGATCGCCGGCGGGTACCGCGTGGTCACCGAGCCGGATTTCGCGCCGGCGCTGCTCTCCATGCACGGGATGCGGCAGAGCTCCAAGCTCTCCAAGCCGGCGCTGGAGGCGCTGAGCATCGTCGCGTACCGCCAGCCCATTACGCGCTCGCAGATCGAGGCGATCCGCGGGGTCTCGTGCGGCGAGGTGCTCAAGTCGCTCCTCGAGCGGCGGCTCATCGACATCACGGGCCGCGCGGAGGAACTCGGGCGGCCCATGCTCTACGGCACGAGCAAGCACTTCCTGGAGGTCTTCGGGCTGGGGTCCGTGAAGGACCTGCCGGAGGTGGGGGACATCCCCGATCTCCCCCGTGCGAACGCGCGGGCGTCGGAGGATGCCGCGGACGCGGGGGCGGTCGCCGAACTCGGCGAGGTGGAACCGAAGGGGTCGCTGCGCGACGAAGCGGGGGAGGAACCGGACCGGGAGGCCACGGCGGAGGCGGAGGGCGACGCGGTGTCGCCGGTCGCGGGCGCCGGCGAGAAGGGATCGTGATGAGCATCAAATTGTGCGCGACGGCGCTGCTGCTTGTACTTGTTGGTGTCGTTCTTTCGGGGTGCGAGTCGTACGCGATGCGCGGGCACGTGATCCGCGGCGACGTGAGCTACGTGGAGGTCGTCTCGGCGGACGACGCGCGTCTGCTGGAGCCGGGGCTGCCCGGGGCCCGCGTCGGGGCGCACCTGGACCCGTCGAAGCTCAACCGAAAGTTCCTGGGCTCGACGATCTCGGACGGGAACGGCGATTTTTCGCTCCCGGTCGACGAGGTCGGCGCGGGGTGGCTCGAGTACGACATCTCGGTCGTGGGCTACAAGGACGGGTACATGGGCGTGGAGCAGTTCTTCCGCATGCCGCCCAAGGAGAAGCGTCTGCTGGTGATCCTGGCGCCGGGTCGGGACCCGGAGCCGCCCAGCTTCCGCGACCGCGAGAGCCTCTTCGACGAGGCCGATCGGTACCGTTGATCGTGATCTCGTGGCACCGGGCGGGCGTCTCGTGCGTAGAGTGTGCCCGGTGAACCCATGAGCAGCAGGCGACGGTACCACGCGCATCTCCCGGGCTTTGTCTTCACGGTCGCGACGATCTTCATCGGCGTCGGCGCGTTCAATTCGCAGAACAACCTGCTGTTTTTGTTCTTCGGGTTCGCGATCAGCTCGATGGTGGCGTCGGGCGTGATCAGCGGGTCGATGCTCATGCGGCTGCGCGCCGAGCGGATCGGCGTGACGCGCGGGCGCGTCGGGGGCGAGGTGGTGATCCGGTACCGCGTGCGGAACGCGGGCCGTCGCGGCCCGGCCTTCGCGGTGGTCGTGGAGGAGCTGGGCGAGCCGGGGTGGCGCGGGGTGATCGGGCGGAGCGCGGGGTTCCTGCCGCACGTCCGGGCGAAGGGGGAAGAGGTGATCGGCGTCCGTTTCCCGGCGCTGGCGCGGGGGGTCGGGGAGCTCTCCGCGGTGGAGCTCTCAAGCCGTTTCCCGTTCGGGTTCATGCGCAAGAGCGTGATGTTCGAGACGCGGTCGAAGGTGATCGTGCACCCGGCGGTGCACGAGCTGCGCGACGACGCGCTGCGGGGCGTCGCGTCGCGGGAGCGTGGCGAGCACGTGAGCGAGCGGGAGCGGGGTCTGGGCGGCGAGTTCTACGCGCTGCGCGAGTACGTGCCCGGCGACGCGCCGTCGCGCGTGGCGTGGCGGGCGAGCGCGCGGCACCGCTCGCTCCTCGTCCGCGAGGAGACACGGATCGGCGCCCGGGCGTACGACATCGTCCTCTCGCTCACCGGCAAGCCGGGGGAGCGCGACGCGGACGAGCGCGCGATCACCCTCGCGGCGAGCATCGCGTCGTGGGCGCTGCGGTCCGGCGCGCCGGTGTCGCTGAGCGTGCCGGGGTTCGGCGTCGCGGTCCCGCGCGACGGCTCGCGCGGCCACCTGGCGCGCGTGCTCGACGCGCTGGCGGGGA